ACCTTTCAAAACTCCCTAAACCAGGTAATAACACATATTTTTTAAAAGAATTTTACTAAAACGCACCTATGGTGTTTTACACCATAGGTTCCCATTTCTCAGGAACGTACTAAGTAAACGGGATCGGGTACTCTAAGTAAAATGTTCAGGACCCCAAAAACCTCACAAAAACTGAGATCGGGACCCTATATTAGTTCTATATTATATTATAAAAAAAAAAATTTCTTAATACCCGAACCCTAACCCTAGATTTTATTAAAAACAATTATATATGGTGCTAAAACACCATAGGTGCGTTTTATAATAATTGTTTTAAAAAGTTAGTAATATATCATTAATTGTAAATATTTCTGAATCTGTTAATATAGTAAATGCAGGTACTGTAATGATATTTATTTTCTCAAATTGAATTCAAATAGTAGATTTAATATATTTATATGTATATATTTTAGCAAGTCAACCCATTAAATATGTTGAAGTTCCTGACGGTAAGTAATATCTGATTTACTAATATAACCAAATTTATTGCTTATTTTATATTTACATTTAGATTATTAAATCAAGTAAAAGGAAGTAATTGAATTGGGGACATTTTATTTTATTATTTCCATGCTACAATAATTCAGAAATTGTTATGTATCTTTATGTATGGGTACGTATCTAAAGTAGCGATTGGAACCGTTTAACCGTTTAAAAATTGCTCTATAGTTCCGGGCAGAATTATGTTTGTCGTGGGCCGGAATTATTTTAATGCCGGCCAAACTAAACGGTTAAACAGTTAAACGATTAAGCGATTAAGAAAAATTTTATGCGGTTCCAATCCCTAATCTAAAGAGAAAAAAGATATATTCCAATTTCGTAAACAACTGTTTTGCAGACTTAGTTGACCGATTTAAGTTAGGATTGGCCTGACTTATAGTTTATTGCTGGCTAGATTATATAATAAAAATTATAAAATTTAAGTATATGAATTTATTAAACGAATATTAACAAAATAAATATTAAAATTACCTTTATTAATGTTGTTGGTGGTACTCTTGTTATCTTAAATGATATACGAATATATTTTTTAAAGAAAAGCTATAAAATTGAATCTAAATATTAAGCTCCGAATTTCAACAGTTCCTGTTTCCTAGTATAATCAAAATCAAAATTATATTTTATCTTGAAACTGTGATCTATATTTTATAATCTATTCTTAAAATAATATCTAGTTAAAAATAAAATAAAGTGAAAATTAGCCTCTTTATATTTTCCAAATAAATTTAAATTCATTTAGCCATTTTCAAGAGCTATATCAAATTATGTAAAAAAAAAAAAAAGAACCTCTAAACAATGATGAGGTCCGAAATGTCTTGAAAACGAATTCAGTTTAGATATATGATGAAAAATCAATCTATATTCAATAAAATAGGTAGATGAGAATAATTAAATGCTAAATATATAACCATATATTTGGCTTATAATGCAAAGAGTCTTAACATTGAGTTTACGTAGATAATAATGTGGATTCCAACCAAATTTCGAGTTTGATTTCATCGATAGTCTCAAAACGTCATTTTCAAAATAAAATACTTCAAAAATTTTTGGCGTAAAAGGGAAAAAACATAGATAGTATAAGAATATGAAATAACAAGATTTTTTTGTTATAAAAAGATTACTAATTAAATTGTAAGATATGAATGTTAGCTTATAGATGAAAACTATCTTTTTTCACAAAACATATAGATCTCCATAAATTTTAGATACGACCAGGGCGGCCATCGATTTTACGGGTCATGTGGGTAGCGCTACTTGCAGCAATTGTTGCAAACGAATCAATAGCGATCAGCGGATATGTCCCAAATTTTTGTGATCTGATGTACGTTAATAGTAAATTTGCACATCAATTTTTTAAAATTTTATATAAAAAAAGGACATTGAAAATCTTATTTTTTGCATTACGCCCTTTTGGCAAAATAAATTCAAAGGTGAAATTACATTAAGAGAAAGCTCTGAAACCATACTTTACATATTTATAAGTTAGACCAAGATATTTAGGTTAGTTTTAAAAGGATCTTGGCTCAAAGTAAATGAACCGGAAAACATCACGTGCGTCACGTGATCGTCATTTCGTATCGACATTGGTTAATTAGCATACAAAATTTTATATACTTTCTTGTGGGTACATATTTGAATTTTTTTTATATGCTTTTAACGCCTTAATAAGCAAATAATATTTATAATCAAAAATTAAAAAAGTCGAGTTGCGCTCATCTTTAAAAGTTCATTAGAATTAATTTTTTTTGTATAGCCTAATACAGAGCCACTAGATTTTAAAATAGCACTAGCAATATCGCGACAACCACATAACCAAATTCGACCAAATTGTTCTTATATGCCTATAGAGCAAAATAAAACAATCTCTGTTGAATTCAGTTATGTGGTTGTTGCGATATTGCTAGTGCTATTTTAGATGCTGCTAAAATCCGGTGACTTTGGCCTAACAATAGACAATGCTAAAGCATTTGAACTAATTCATACAGATGAGTTCGTTACCAAATCGTAACAATGAAACAATGAAACAATCAAACGATAATGCGATGCAATGTACTGTATTAAGCTAATTGTGATAAAGAAAATCATAATGATAACAAATGTTTCTCACACATATGTACGTACATGTATACCCTTTGACAAATAGCTATTTTTGTTACTTTGATCATTACATATTTGAGACTTCCTGTTTTCTAATTCAAAAGAATAGTTAATTGGGATAAAGAAAACCATAATGATAAAGAATGTTTTTCACACGACGTACATACATACATACATACCCTTTGACAAATAGCTATTTTTGTTACATTGATCATTATTTAAAGTCTTTCGTTTTCTAATTCAAAAGAATATAAAAATGTGCATTTTACGATAATTTACTTTGGGTTGTTTGATATACTGCTATTAATAACACGGACATTAGTATCGTTTACATTATTTTGCAATTTTTGTTTCTTCTAGCTTTTAGAAACTTTAAATATAGTTTTTTAAAACTGCTACATATTATGGATGATGAATTACCCGAGCATGCAGAATACTTGGAATATCAAGACCCTGATTTTGATTATGAAATATTAGATAATAATGAAAGTTATCTTGAAAATATATCCGAAATACTGTCTACTCCAAAAACCACAACTGATGAAAGTGTAACAGATAATGAATACGATGGTGACTTCACTTTTGATGAAAGGACATTGAATTATGTGAAAAATTTTGTAGCATCTTCAATTAAAATTTTAGAACAAGATGGCGAAAGAGATATTAATTGGTTTATGTTGGATGATGATTTGCAATTAGAAGTTGAATCTTTGTAGACTTTGCCAACAGACAACAGTAATATACTTGATTATGAAATAGGTGATGAAATGAATACAAATAATCTAAATAAAAGTAATGAACGTTGTATTATTATTGATTATGCTGAAGGGCATCTTCAACGTTGTTTAAACCCTGTATGTAGACCACTTAAGCAGCTTGTAGGAGTTTGGGAATTGGACTTTCAGGCTATAGATATAGCAATTAAAGCGGGAACAAAAATGCGATAAATAATCTAGGTATTTGCACTAGTCATTATACTTTGATCAGAATAAACTTCATTTAGCTGTATCAAAGCAAGGTGTTTCAATTGAGAAAAGTTGGATTCATAGACGAAAATGTATATTTTGCAATTCTGATAAATATTTTTTTAGTTGAGGAAGATGTTGTAGACAACATTTATGGAATATATTAGGGCGAAATATTTGTATTCCTTGTGCCGGGTTAAAAGTTTGTCCAGCATTTACTGAGAGAGATAATGAATTTATTGAATCACCTACAAGTCAAAAGCGATTAAAATTTATTTGCTCTTGCTGTTTTGACAACGAAGGTAGGCATTTTTTTCAAAGAAAATAAAGAGATTTACCACAATTTTCCTGTATTAAAAAACATGAAAATAATAATCAAAATTCACTTCATCTTTTGGGACAATGGATCCAAGAAATAGCAACAGACCAAGATCAGCAACTCCAAGTTATACTTTTAGAAGAAATCTGGTTAGCAGTTGTTAAATTTTTAAATAAAAAAGTAGAGATTTCCAAAGTATTAATGAATAGTATGAATGAGGACCAACCTGAAAAAATAAATCCACCAACATATTTTGGGATTAAAACAGCTCTCCGTATAAGGAAAGTTAATTTACGTAAATTAAAAAAAAAAACCAATATACCAATCTTATAACTAATCAGTCACAAGAATTAGGAGAAGCTTTAGGAAATGTTGTTTGGAGATTAAGATCAGAGGTGCGTGCCCAGAAAAAAACACTTGAATCACCAAATACTTTACAAGAATTTTATTATGCATTTCCTAAATCGATAAAATAGTTATTTAATAGTTTTATTATTTTTATTTTACAAAAAAAATAGAACATATTACAAAAAAAGCATATACAACGTGGATTGATCCCAACAGAGTTTAATTTTACACAGGCTATAAAAATTTCGACATTTATAATATTATTAATTTTTTTAATGGCATTTCCGGGTATCAATATTTGGCTTACACATGTAATGAGTTCTCTTTGTCAAAAACCTAAACAAATAAATTCACTTTATGCAATTCTATGCATGGCAAATGTTGTTTCCCATACAAATTATTATGAACGAAAGTTAGAAAAACAACAACATAGTGATATTGATTTATCAAAAAAATTGTTACATGGAAAAAATGTTTAGAACCTAATAATAGACAACATAGACTTTAAAGAAAACACATTTGCATATGATAACATATTTGATGTTCCAAGACATACAGCACATGCCACACTTAGAATAGTTTTCCAATTCAAATTACCACAGTCATTATCTAGCATTGCTAAGCAATGTAGTTCAACTTATGATTATAAATTTTGGGTCAGGATATCTAATTTTACAAAAAATGAACTTGAAAAATTCAAAAATATTTTTAGTTCCCTTTTAGATTCGAATGATAGTTTTAATGTTTTAAAATTACAACAAGAAATAAAAAAACTATCCAATTGGGATACTTAGTTGATCCCCCAAACATAGTTATTTTAGAACCTGGTACAAATCCTTGCAATGATGAAAAAGTTTGTAATACAGCAAAAATATACAATAATGATATAGAGCTTGATTAAACAGGTCTTTATTTAGCATGTGACGAATCTATTTTCTGACGACTTGTAAAGTTATATGAAACTCAGCTAGAAATAAAATTGCTTTTAGGTGAATGGCATACCTCAAAAATAATGTGTGCTACATTAATTCGTCTTTTTTCTACTTATGGGATTTTTAAATTGGCTGCTATTCTAGGAGTTTCTTATTTAGATATATTGAAGAAAGTTCATTAATCCCAGTAAATCGACTCACTAAATCTTGTAAGAAAGCCCTTCGGAATCTAACAGATCAATTATTAAAAGCATTCAATCAGCCAGATCCCACTCAGCACCAACTTTTCAAAAAAACATCTCAAAATACTGATGAAGGATTTCAACGCCTTTTTGAGTGTTATAACAATGGAAAAAAGCAGTTGCAAGATATATATAAACAGGATATTAAAAAGTCAATGAAATGCAATACATTAGCCAGATGTAGTCTAGAAGTTGTTATTAAATCTTTTGCCAACAACAAAAGAATCAAAAACAGAAAAAAAACCTTTGTCTAACAAGAAAACTGAAAAAAAAACAAACTAAAAAAAAAATAATAATACTAACAATATAATTTTTCTTTGCTAGAAGAAATGAATCAAGTTAATTGATATTATGTATTTGATATTTAATATACTTACTGAACTTTTTTGGTCTTAAAATTGAATCAGTTCTTAAACAAAAATTTAAAATACATTATATAATAAAGAATAGTTAAATAAAAAAAAAATTAAAAAAATAAATACTTATCAAAGTTAGATTAGTTTTATATTCAGAATTTGTTCAGTAATTAAGAATCATAAGAAATATGTAATAAGATAGTAATAGAAGTTAAATTCTGTATGATTAATTTATTATGTAATTAAAGTCAAACATTGTATAATAAGTTATGATATAATTAATTTGGAGTCAAATAAGGAACATAAAAAAATAAAGAGAAGGGTTATTCTTCACTTTCACCTAAGAAATATTAAAAAATAATCGATAAAACATATACCTTTGTGTTGAGATGCTAGTAGTTACTCTTGATTTGCCACTAAATAATATTTGTAATAGTAAGAGTCCAATACAAATGAGAAATTCTTAAAAACAGTAACATAAAATTATATTATGTGGCTTGACAAAAAACCCATGGTGCCTGTTCGTACGTTAATTTTACACATCAAATAAAAAAGGACAGCTCGTAATAACATAAAAACTCTTTTAAATTTTATTTTTAACTATTATCTAAATTTCATATAAAAAGATATCGAAAAGACAAAAAATAGAACTCTTCCCATAGATCACTTTACCAAAATTAAAACAAGAAAAAAAAACTTTTCCACGTACTTTTCTCGAAAACTTACTAAGTAAATTGATATCCAGCTCTTAAGTAAGGTTATTCAGCACCTTCAAAACTACCTAAAGGAGGTACAATTTTTATTAAAAGACTCTACTACGACAAGCTAGTAGCAATAAACACTCAAAACAGCAACAAACTAGTTTTTCAATTCTTTCGCGAAAACAGATTTAAGGACCCTTATATTTCAACTAACCAGAAACAAACTATAAGTAGTACTCTTAGCAAAAATAACAAAAAGCAACAAGTACCTCATTCTATTAAGCCCCAAGACCCCAACCAAAACATGGCCTCGGAAAGCTCTTCCTTCTACTTTAGATTTTTTTCCCGGACCACCAAACCCGTGCAACCTGAAAACACTACACTATCAGCTTGCCTCCAAGCTCTGGTGTAGAACACACGAAAAATTTTTTAAATATCACTATGAAGGACTGGTCAAAACTCATTTTTACTGTTAGCTTCTCTATTCCCGAATACGCCAACACTTTTGCCTTCTCTATTGATATTACCAAATCTGAAAAGATACCCAACTTGGTTAACTACTCACCACAATAGATATGCAAACATGATGATCTTGCCAAATCAGTTTTATTTGATCTTACATCACAGAAAAATAGTATCGTAAATATTAGCGCCAAATACCCAAAAGCTACCTGTAATAGTGATCTTGTAACAATTACAAACCTTTACGAAAGAAGCATGAAACCATTTATGAAGGCTAAAAGCATAGAAAATCTTGTTGCAATCCTGTATAACAGTATTACAGACTTGGACTCAGACAACGAATCTAACAGAAGCACCAATAAGCAGGTTATACAAACACTAGCCTCTACTAATCCTAGTCATCCCCAAAACTCTGTCACAGGGCACACAATTATTAGTACAGACAACAATAACACAAACCCTACATCTGATATAAACAAACCCCTTAGTACCAAATCAACTAGCATTCAAAACACTAGTAGTACAAACAAGACTCCTTACCCAGATCCAGTACGCCTACTAACCAGATTACTCAGCCGGTACTTATCATACCTAACCCCAAGTATTTCTCTGCAGCCTCTACAGCCAACCCCAACACCAATCGTAAAAGACCTAGAAACCTATCTAATATTTCTCCACTTGCTACCACATCGAATAAAGCTACCAAGGCTGTACTAGGCAACACCTAAACTCCTATTAGAATACAAGCAAGTATGAAGATACCTAATACAAGATTGACATATAGCCAAGCCGCTCAAACAGACCTAAAGCTACTCAAGACTGATGCCCCTGAAGATGAAATAGAGTGGGCTTCAGAAGTATACCTCAAAACTACTAAACCTATTGATACACCCTTTGATACAAGTACCTGGTACTTTGACAAAATTGCAAAAGCTCTCAAGACCCCTAAAAGCATCTATAACTTTACTAGCCATAAGCTTATTACTACCTCAGCCCACTACAAGCTACCTGAAGCAATCGCCCTTAAGTTTGCTCACCAGGATACTAGATTTTTTACAACATTTACACACAATCCAAAAACTACTCCGGCTCACCAGAAAGAATACAATGAGCTTTTCAACAATGCACTCGCAGCCTACAAACAAAATAATGAGATTACACTTACTAATATTACTGCTCGTAATACCATTTATACAATGCTTAGGACATGGCTTATTGCTCAACACCTGTCAAACCTCAACTTTACCAGAACTACATATAGAGGAATATACAGTATTATCATGTATGCCAGAGGCTTTCTAAAGATCAAGAATACCAGTGAGGAAACTTCTAAAAAAATCAGAGCACAGATAAACAAAGTACTAGAGAACAAGCTTATCCCATTACCTGATACACCAGAACAAATATCCAAAGAGATTCAAGAGATTTTGCTCTTTGAACTTCCTATCAAAGTACGATCACATACTAGAGCTGTAGTTAATGCTCTAAGAAGAATTTACAAATTTTCTGAGCTCCCAGATGCATACTTTGTCAAACAGCCCCCATTACCTTCTCACTACAGTGAACTTCCACCTAGCCTGCACCAACTATTCCCAATATCTCATAAATCTTCACTCCAATAC